TTAAGAGCACAGCCACATCCTACCTCCCTCAGTGTCTGGATTCGGGTGACTACGCACCCGTGCAGTGTGACCTGCGGCGGGTGCAGTGCTGGTGTGTGGATGCAGAAGGCATGGAGGTGTACGGGACCCGCCAGCTGGGGAGGCCAATCCGATGTGAGTCTCACAAGTCTCAGAGACCCAGAGGGGTGCAGCTTTCCTCACTGTACCCCAAAACGTTTCCTTGCGCCCTGGGAAAACGGGCAGAGGGCCTGGCCCTCAGGAGGGGAAGAGAAAGTGCTGTGAAAGAGGGGTAGCGTTACTTGGGGGATTTCCATGTGGTTGGCAATCAGTACCTGCTGGCTAATCATTAGAAGCATAAGCAGGATTTCAGAGAACGCATGCGAGTCTCCTCCTGCAGATCCTTGTCACCACTGGGTTCTCTAGGTGTCACACGCGCAGTGTGAGTACATGCATCCTGACTATAGATGCATGTGCACCTGCTCACATGTGAGAATTTAAAGTGCTTTGATGAAAACATTTAGGTCCCAGGAGCTGTGAGATAAGAAACCGCCGTCTTCTCCATGGGGTGGGAGACAAGTCGCCACCGCAGTGCTCTGCAGATGGAGAGTTCATGCCCGCCCAGTGCAAATTCGTCAATACCACGGACATGATGGTTTTCGATCTGGTCCACAGCTATAACAGGTAAGGGAGACGCCTCCATGGTGTGCCCATCGCCAGGTCGTTGCCTGCCCAGGCTCACGCTCACACTTCAGTAGTCATAGACACGACCTGGTGAACTGGGAAGACAGGTCTTATGTGTCTTTTTATTTTCTTTTTTAATTTTTTAAGTTTATTTCTTTCTTGAGAGAGAGAAAGAGAAAGAGAGAGAGACAGACAGAAAGACAGAGAGACAGACATTCCCAGCAAGAGCTTCATGCAGAAATCTACCCCTAGGGTTAGCTGGCCCGGATTGTGGGCATACACATACTTGTGCCCTGTGTATCTGGGGAGCCTAGAACGGGAACCAAACAGGACCTGCCCTGTGAGGGTCAGTTGCCGTCCCACTGCTCCACCACCTGGCCAGAAGATCCCTCCTCTTTACCCATGGACATCTGAACTGCCGCAGCGCTTTTGACCAAGCACACTAGCTATGGCTATTAAAATGAAAAATATCTGTGCCCTCTGGCCCTGGCAGCCCTTGAAAAGGAAAACACCAGAATGTGATGATACACGGACTAGGGTGTCTACTGCATTGTTTTGCATGGTAGCAGAAAACTGGGAATGACGCAAAGGATCATCAAAAGGTAGACAGCTGAATACACGTGCCTCTGCCGTACGCGCTTACACAGCCATTCACGAGGATGCAGCAGAGAGCCCACAGGCGGCATGGCGGTTCAGGCGCTGGGTCCCACATAGCTGGCCACACAGTTTGAGTCCCAGACCCGAGAGGAGAATGGAGGAGAATAGATTACAGTGTGGCCATCCTTCCTGGGGTGGGGGAGTGGAAAAAAAAAAAAAAAAAAAAAAAAATGCAATATATGCAATATATCTAGAACAGCTGACTGACTTGCAGAGGATTCCACAGTGCATCATGATAATTTAATATGATATACAAAGTATAAATAATATGATAAGATTTTCAGAAGACAAATAAGCATAGGGATTCTAATATGCTTACATTATTTCATGGTCACACTGGCCTGGAAAAGACTAGGTGAGCACAGAGGGTGGCATGAGTGAGTGCTTACTACATCGTTCTCGTGGGCTCCTTTGAGGGCCAGGGCTGCCCCACAGAAGGCGGAGTGGGCCGGTGGGATCAGCAGAAAAGGAAAGACAGTGCCTTAAACAGCACGGATATGATCATATCTACGAATTTGTATACGCCGTGCATATGTCTGCTCTTAGAAACACCCTATGGGTTTCACTGAATAGTAACGGACACATTTAGGTCTTGGTTCAAATAGCCTGATAGCCGCTGGTTATTCAAGATGGCTACCTGGTTATCATAAAGGGCCACACAGGCTTGAGATGTAACTGAACCCTTCTGGGTAAAGGGAAATGAGAACATGAGTCTGGGAAGACTGATAGCAATTCTCAGAGAACTTGAGCCTTTCTGTGGCTGGCTTCCAAAACCACCAGCTTCTTTCATGTGTGAGGAGGAAGTTCTCATGGGTGGTGCCAGGAGGACTCTCAGCCCAGCAGCCTGTGTGCAGGAGCTGTCCCCAAGACAGGCTGTGTTTGAGCTGTGTGATATTTTAGGAACTGGAAACGTTTATTAGGTTGTATCCCAGGAAATTTTCATTTTTGTACATAAAAGAGTAGCTGACTACTGTGAATTTCATTTTAACCTAAAATATTCCATTCTGAATTCCTGATGTCCAAGAACAAGGGTGGAAGGCTGCATGCGTTGGTCCACCATGTCAAGAAGACAACTGCCCTGTGTGGAGCAGCGACACCCTGCCCTGCCCAGCTCTTGCGGTGTCGTTGCTGTCATCCTGCTGGCTCTGTCCGTCGCATTGCCAGACAGGCCCTGCAGCATTTGCCTCTGTGGCCGATTTTCTGCCCCTGCCACTGCTTAGCACGGTGACCTGGTCACTCGATCTCTCCGAGCCTCAGTGTTCCCACCTGAAAAATGGAGAACAGTGACCTTTTCATTAGGTCATGGCAAAGATCTGATGAGACCTCAACTGTGAAGCCATTGTGAATTTACAAAATTGTGAATTATTATATGTCTATAGGGAATTTCCGCAAATAGTTGCAGCAAATGTCGGTTAGATTTTTTTCTTCCCAGGCCTAGAAGATGGCCTGCCTGTGAATGCATATAAGCCTCAAAGAGCCTGATCTCTTGGATACCCATCAATGCAAACCAGTGCCCTCAGTTCAAGTTCAACTGAGTGCTTGCTACTTATGAGAGATTTTACCTCTTTTCGTCTACTTTAATACTTACAGAAATAATTTCATAATTATAGTCTCTATTGTATGAATGAGGAATCTGAAACACTGAGGTTAAGGGACTTACACCGGCAGGCATACTTAGTGGGTGCTAGAGGCTCCTTCCACCACCATATACTACTGCAACTCATCCCTGTTCCCTCACAGGGCGCAGCTCAGACCCTTGCACACAGTAGGTCTAAAGTCAATGCAACAAGTGAAGCCATCCAAGAATGTGTGATTGAGACACAATTCACAGCTATTTCCACAAGAGGGCAGTCGAGTTAAATGCAAATCTTCAGCACTAAGCATTCATTGTTTAAAACAAGCAAAAAAATTTACTCCTGAAATGCGATCCTTTTCTTTTTTCTGGAAGCAAGCATGTTTGGGAACATATTCTGATTTAGAAAGGTCGTGGGAAGGGTTGGGTGGTTGCTGAAAGCCCAGCCGTTGTAATCACGGCCTATCTGGTACTTAGTGTAGACCTGGGCAGTCCCAGGCCCCCAACTCCTCTGAACAAAGTGGAAGGAGCCCTGGAGGCCACTTGGAGAGTCTTAAGTCTTAGCTCCTAGGGTTGCCAGATAAAGAACAGGACCACCAATTACATTTGAATTTTGGAAAAACAAAGAGTAAATTCTGTGTGTGTGTGTGTCCCCACAGTGCTTCAAGCATTTTAAGCTTGAGATGCGGGTGGGTATGTCATAATTGCCATCAGGCTTGGACTTTTGGAAAGAATGGACTGGAGTGGGGGATAAGTAGCGTGGGTGCTGGGAGGTGACTCTCCAAGTTTGGAGGCTACTGCAGTAGCCCAGATGAGAGAAGGTGTTGACTAGGACAAGAACAGGCACTGGAGAGGATGGCTGAGAGACGGGGTGGGATTGGACAGATAGTCACAGATGGGATCCGCAGAACCTGGGGAAGGAATACCTATGGAAGGTGAGGGAGGGGAAGACTCGACGGCGACTCTTAGGTCTGGCTTCTAGATAGGCAGTTGATTATTTTGGCGTATTGAATCTGAGGCAATTTCTTTGGGAAATTCAAATGGAGAAGTGAGTAAGGCAGGTGACTTCCATGGAACCACAGGAAGGCTGGAAGTCTGTGGGGCAGAGGCCTCATGCATTGGCTATTCAGGGCATGAACCCAGACTTCTCGATGTTGCATAAAGATGGAAAACTCTCTGGCTGCTAAGTCATCATGCATGGGAAGAACTACTCACTACAGCTTTCCGCACCATAGTGTTCCATTCTTCCCAGGATGGGGAACCCAGCCAGTGAGCACCAGGTCAGACCTGAGCAGGGCCCGCCTTCCCTCAACTCATGGAGAGGGATATACAACGCTTGTTAGTAAAAGCAGATTGATTTTATTTTTACAACTAATGGAACTGGAAAATTTCCTTCTTAAGGATTTCCTAGAGTGGAATCTGGCTTCTTTTCAAGCTCTTGAAAAGTCATAAAGGGCTCTGAAGTCGTTTGATCTTTCCAGATGAGATCATCTACAACGTACCGTGTGTTTGTGAAACAAATATGGCCTTTAGTCTCTAGAGTTCTCATCCAGTAAAGAAACCTGTTAACAGGATGCTCATTACCTGTTTGCTGCCTGGTCCTTTGAGACCTGTGTATGGGCATTGATTGGTCAAATGCTACAGTGAGGAAAATGGCTAATTACTAGGTGGCAACTATGCACAAGGCCCAACCTGGCTCCAGCTAGGTAAAACCAATTTAGAAATGCAATGCACTCTGCAGGAAGCATGGGGCATGAGAGGTGTTCAGGCTCTGAGCAATTACTACACCAAAAATCACCTTCCTATGCTGGTTCATTTGCACAGTAGTAATTGTATGTAGTAGTATACTTCTGTGAGATTTTATATTCTATCATTTTGTCATAAAAGGAAAAGGCAAACATTCTTTTTCCCTTGGTGGGGGCTTGGCCACATTTATTTCTACCTGAAGAGTTTGTGAGGACTCGCCTTTCATGAAATGGTGATCATAAATCTCATTGTCTTTCAGGTTTCCAGAGGCATTTGTGACCTTCAGTTCCTTCCGGAGCAAGTTCCCCGAGGTGTCTGGATATTGCCACTGCGCTGACAGCCAAGGGCGGGAACTGGCTGAGACAGGTGAGCAATTGAATGGAGGGCATGAGGTTCAGGCATGAAACCCTGCCTAGCGTGCATTACCTGGAAGGCAGCAGTAGCGCAACTGCCTGCTCCTCTGCCAGGCTGCTGAGGCACTGAGGAGGACATGGCCTTAGCAAGCTGGCATCTGTTGAATCCTGTGGCTGCAAGCCCAATGCCGTCTTTGTGCATGGTGGAAAGAGGCGCCTCAAGTTCAAGTACAACTCTGAGCTTGGTGGGTGGAACGCAGGATGGACTTCAGCCTGTCACTCCTTTGCGCTATGAGCAACCACACAACTGTACATGGCACCACCGATTTTGGAAACTATGAAAGAATTGTTGAGACCCAGTGCCTGGGATGCCAGTGAAGGCTGTCTCTACCTGCTTGCACTGCAAAGTCAGGACCCATCCCTAAATGCTTGCTGTCCTTGCTCAGGTTTGGAGTTGTTACTGGATGAAATTTATGACACCGTTTTTGCCGGCCTGGACTTCGCTGCCACCTTCACTGAAAGCACCCTGTACCGGATATTGCAGCGGCGGTTCCTAGCGGTGCAGTTAGTCGTTTCCGGCAGGTTCCGCTGTAAGTGAGAAGCTCACACAGATGTGTATGTTTCTCCTGGGGGACCCACGTGGGTTTTAAAGTCTGCATTCCCCCCCTGACTCTCCCACCAAAGTGAGCGCGGAGGTTGAAACCATTCCAACGGCAAACAGCAGCGCCAGCTGTACGCTCGGCAGGCGTTGTTCACACGCACTCTTTCTTTACCATGTGGATTTCTTCTAGGCCCCACCAAATGCGAAGTGGAGCGGTTTGCAGCAACCAGCTTTGGTCACCCTTATATTCCGAGCTGCCTCCGAAATGGGGACTACCAGGCAGTGCAGTGCCAGACAGAAGGGCCATGCTGGTGTGTGGACGCCCAGGGGAAGGAGATCCATGGAACTCGGCGGCAAGGGGAACTGCCATCTTGTGGTGGGTTTCCTCCTTCTCTCCTCAGCACACGTTACTGTAACTGTTTCTCTAATCCAACCTCTCTGGAACCCATTAATTCTGCTGCCTACTGGGTGTGTCCCCCTCCCCCGCCCTCCTGTGATTGAAAGGCACTTTATCATCATTCATGGCCCATGTTTCTCATCTCATGTCAGACATAGCTGCATCCTCAGGGAGCTCAGGGAAGACTGCGGGCTTCACAGGTGAAGGAATAACAGAGGATTAGGCTTATGTATGCCATGAGAGAACTGTGCACAGGCAATTAAAGGAGCCTAGAGGAGGAAGGGAGGCGATGCCAATTCTGTCTTGTAGCATCTATGAGTAAGCATTTAGAAGGCTTCATGGAAGAGGTGGCACTTGACTGGAGTCTTCTGAAGTAACGGTGTTTCCTGAAGGAGGAAAGTAAGGAAAGATGTTCTCTATGTAGACAACAGGGGAAGTCACTGCTAACACCGGAGTAATAGGCACTGATATGCTGTGAGAGGGTGCGGAGAACTGTTGGAGTCACAGTAGGTGGTGCTCTGGGAGGGCAGGAGTAACACAGCGAGGTCTTCACAGCAGGGCCTTGGAGGCTTTACCCTGAAGGTCAGATGAAGATGGCAACAGATCATCCAGAAATTGTGGAGGAGACACTAGGACAATGGGGCCAGTTAGGTCACTGCCGTGTCCCGAAGAGAGATGTTGGGGACTCTATGAGCTTCCTGAGGTTCTCATAATAAATCACCACCAACTGGGTAACTTGGAAACACAGAAACTTACTATCTCATAGTTTTGGAGGCTGGAAGTCCAAAATCAGTGTGTGGACAGAGCCGTGTTCCTTCCATAGGCATTCAGGGAGGATCCACCCTTGCCTCTGCCTATCCATAGCTCATGGTCGTTGCCTATCACCCTGGTCCCTTTGTTACGTGGCAGCACAATTCCCATCTTTGCTTCCCTTGTCACATGGCTGTCTTCCCTCTGTGTTTTCCCCCGGTACCGGATATTGCAGCGGCGGTTCCTAGCGGTGCAGTTAGTCGTTTCCGGCAGGTTCCGCTGTAAGTGAGAAGCTCACACAGATGTGTATGTTTCTCCTGGGGGACCCACGTGGGTTTTAAAGTCTGCATTCCCCCCCTGACTCTCCCACCAAAGTGAGCGCGGAGGTTGAAACCATTCCAACGGCAAACAGCAGCGCCAGCTGTACGCTCGGCAGGCGTTGTTCACACGCACTCTTTCTTTACCATGTGGATTTCTTCTAGGCCCCACCAAATGCGAAGTGGAGCGGTTTGCAGCAACCAGCTTTGGTCACCCTTATATTCCGAGCTGCCTCCGAAATGGGGACTACCAGGCAGTGCAGTGCCAGACAGAAGGGCCATGCTGGTGTGTGGACGCCCAGGGGAAGGAGATCCATGGAACTCGGCGGCAAGGGGAACTGCCATCTTGTGGTGGGTTTCCTCCTTCTCTCCTCAGCACACGTTACTGTAACTGTTTCTCTAATCCAACCTCTCTGGAACCCATTAATTCTGCTGCCTACTGGGTGTGTCCCCCTCCCCCGCCCTCCTGTGATTGAAAGGCACTTTATCATCATTCATGGCCCATGTTTCTCATCTCATGTCAGACATAGCTGCATCCTCAGGGAGCTCAGGGAAGACTGCGGGCTTCACAGGTGAAGGAATAACAGAGGATTAGGCTTATGTATGCCATGAGAGAACTGTGCACAGGCAATTAAAGGAGCCTAGAGGAGGAAGGGAGGCGATGCCAATTCTGTCTTGTAGCATCTATGAGTAAGCATTTAGAAGGCTTCATGGAAGAGGTGGCACTTGACTGGAGTCTTCTGAAGTAACGGTGTTTCCTGAAGGAGGAAAGTAAGGAAAGATGTTCTCTATGTAGACAACAGGGGAAGTCACTGCTAACACCGGAGTAATAGGCACTGATATGCTGTGAGAGGGTGCGGAGAACTGTTGGAGTCACAGTAGGTGGTGCTCTGGGAGGGCAGGAGTAACACAGCGAGGTCTTCACAGCAGGGCCTTGGAGGCTTTACCCTGAAGGTCAGATGAAGATGGCAACAGATCATCCAGAAATTGTGGAGGAGACACTAGGACAATGGGGCCAGTTAGGTCACTGCCGTGTCCCGAAGAGAGATGTTGGGGACTCTATGAGCTTCCTGAGGTTCTCATAATAAATCACCACCAACTGGGTAACTTGGAAACACAGAAACTTACTATCTCATAGTTTTGGAGGCTGGAAGTCCAAAATCAGTGTGTGGACAGAGCCGTGTTCCTTCCATAGGCATTCAGGGAGGATCCACCCTTGCCTCTGCCTATCCATAGCTCATGGTCGTTGCCTATCACCCTGGTCCCTTTGTTACGTGGCAGCACAATTCCCATCTTTGCTTCCCTTGTCACATGGCTGTCTTCCCTCTGTGTTTGTCTCTATGACTGTTTCTTCTTGTCAGAAGCACGGCCATGTTTGATTAAGCCCCTCCCCCATCCATGATGACCTCATCTGAGCTAATTACATCCACAGAGACCCTTTCTCCAAATGTAGTAACACTTCTGCAGTTCTGGGCAGAGTGTGAACTTCGGGGGAGGACACTATTTAACCCAGTATGAGGACCGATACTAAAACTGAAACAGAGCTGGGGACAGGGCACGGACATGAGAACTATCATTTCAGTAAGACCCACTTTAATTTAATTTCAGTAAAACCTCATTCTATCTTGCCAGTGAGATTTTGAAGGATGCTTATGGTAAGGGGGTGGGAGGAATCCAGAAACACTCACAGGCTTCCAACTTGGATGAGCCGGGGAGATTCAGAAGGATTTGAAATAGTGAAGGAGGAATTCAGGTCTTTTTATAGCTTCAAAATAGATATGTATCAAGATTCATTCAGTAATTCCTGTTAAATCATTCAATTTCTCCAAGTTAACATTTTGAATATTCTGCATGGTATTTGATAGTATTCTATCTGCCATGCATAAGAATGTTGAAACAAAAAATTCCACAGCCCTGCCTTGAAGGTATTTATAATCACATTTCAGTTCTATTAAATCCTAGAGAATGCTGTGCCCTTTCATTTACTGAAAATGAAGAATGATAGTTTTCCATATTAGTAACAATAGTTCTATCAAATGCATAGACATTCTTTTACTTTACCTTTCCTCTTTCATGTATCTGTCCTATTTCTGTAGAAACACATGCCACATAGAAACAATCTCTGGGTTTCTTAGTCTTGGTAATGCTACGTAACAAACGAATGGACAGGACAAGCTTTTAATTTGGAAAGAGGATAGCAAAGCAGTGGACTTGATTTCTTCCATATCCTCCTGTAATACCCATTAAGGAGCCGTGGCCTGCTGAGGGATGTGTTATGTGCACTGAGGTTGCCAGTCTTTTACATTTTTTTTCTTTTCCCCTCAACCATATGTTCCAGTTCTTTCTCTGTTGCCTGGTTACAGAGGGAAATTGGCAGACTTCCTTTTTGGCATCTATGTGAATTGAGAGGAAAATGTTATTTTAAAAAGTTGGGGATGAGGTAGTCAGCCTAACTGGTCCCCTAAAACCCATGGTTTTCTGGAGGACAATGGAGCTGACCTACTTCCGCTTCTGTGACTAAGACAGCATTAGCATTCTGAGTTCTACATCTTTCCCCTTGCTTAATTTCAGTCCATCTAGAATGTTTAAGTGGAATGACCCGAACAGGCATGGAGGAAAATGGGTTGATTCCTGTTTAATGGGTAATTTCAAGGAAAGGCCAAGAAGCCCAAAATGTGCTAAGTGTGTTTTATGGGTGAGCATTATTGTATTATATCATAGGCAACGTATTTCCCATATTATATTACAATATTGCATAGTACAATATAGGGAAATACTTTTTACTATAGGAAATACTAACAGCACTCATGGTATGGTTGATTCTTTTCCTGCCTCCAAGTCTAAAAACTATTGGGTTGTCAGAAAAAGTCATGACTTTCTTTGCATAGAAAAATGCGTCATGACTTTTCTAGCAACCCAATAGTTAATCTAGACAAAGGGAATTAAGCAACCATGTGAACAGCATATAGCAAAGCACTGAAGTCCATTAAGAATTCTAATGGAATGCTGGGAGACATTTCATTAACTACAAACAGGACGTAGTTGGTGTACTAGCTTCCTAGGGCTGCCATTACAGATCACCATGAACTGGGTGGCATTAAATGACAGAAGTGTATTCTCACACAGCACTGAAGGCCCCAAGTCTGAAGTCACAGGGTTAGTAGACATGCTCCCCTCTAAGGTCCCAGGGAAGAATCCTTCCTTTCCTTCCTAGCTTTCAGCGGTTGGAGGCAATTTTTAGTATTCATTGGCTTATAGCTGCATCGCTCCCACCTGTGCCTCTGTCCTCACGTGACTTTCTTCCCTGTATGTCTCTGTGTTTTCGCATGACCTTCTTATAAGGACACCAGTCAGTATATTCAGAGTCCATCCTAATCCGACCTCATTGTATCTTGAGTGCAACTTCAGAGAACCTATTTCTAATAAAGGCCACAGCCTGAGGTTCTTGGTTGATGTGTATTTTGAAGGGGATGCTGGTCAACCCAGTACAGTTGGTGAATGGGATCAGATGATTAGAACGGAGACTTGTTTGAGAAGGGGTCAACCTCTAGTGCAGACTGGGTGAGTGATGATGTCAGAAAGAGTTAGTTCCCCCAGAAGTCACCATAGGGCAGCAAGGAGGGAAAGGAAAAAAACAGGACATGAGAGAAATGTGGTCCAATGGTAGGTGTCCTCAATTAAATTCTTTGGCATCTAACTTCCAGAGATTTCTGAGGGGTTCTTTCTGAGGATGGCTTGTGATGTGGAAATACTTTCTCCCATTTGCTTTGTTTCCTGCAGCTTCAGACCAGTCCTGTGCCTCAGAGAGGCAGCAGGCCTTAGCCAGACTGTTCTTTGGGACCGCAGGCTACTTCAGCCAGCACGACTTGTTCTCTTCTCCCGAGGGAAGTTGGGCCTCTCGGAGAGTAGCCGGGTCTGCCACATCCTGCCCCGCCACGATCACGCAGCTCTTTGTTGACTCTGGGCTTCTCCACCTGTTGGTACAAGGGCAGGATCAACAGTCTCCTTCCTCAGAAAGCCTCCTCAAAGAAGCCGTCAGGGTGCTTTTTCCCTCCCGAGAGCTGGCCCGTCTGGCCCTCCAGTTTACCACGAACCCGAAGCGACTTCAGCAAAACCTCTTTGGAGGGAATTTTTTGGAGAACGTTGGCCAGTTTAACTTGTCCGGAGCCATTGGCACAAGAGGCACATTTAACTTCAGTCAGTTTTTTCAGCAGCTTGGGCTCCCTGGCTTCCAGAATGGAGGAGGACTTGTAGATCTAGCCAAGTCACTCGCCACGGAATTGGATTCAAATTCCACCACAGAAACCCCCAAAGCTGCCCAGAAGACTGTTGCTGCAAATAAGGCCATTGTGGGCAGCTTTGGCTTGGAAGTCAATTTACAAGAGAACAAGAATGCCTTAAAATCCCTTGCTTCTCTCCTAGACCTTCCAGAATTCCTTCTCTTCTTGCAGTATGCCATTTCTGTGCCTGAAGATGTAGCAAGGGATTTAGGAGATGTGATGGAAATGATGCTCAGCTCCCGGCCCTGTGAACAGATACCTGAAAGGCTTTTTGTACCATCATGCACGACAGAAGGAAGCTACAAGGATGTCCAGTGCTTCGCTGGGGAGTGCTGGTGTGTAGATTCCCAGGGAAAACCACTTCCTGGCTCGAGAGTCAGAGGTGGCCGGCCGAGGTGCCCCACGGAGTGTGAAAAGCAAAGGGCTCGCATGCAAAGCCTTGCAGATAGCCAGCCTGCTGGATCCAGTTTATTTGTCCCTTCTTGTACCAGTGAGGGATATTTCCTACCCGTCCAGTGCTTCAATTCAGAGTGCTACTGTGTTGACGCTGAGGGTCAGGCCATTCCTGGAACTCAAAGTACAACAGGCGAGGCCAAGCAATGTAAGTCTGCTAGGTATTCAATTGTGAACTCTCTGAGTCTCTCTTTAGACTCTGACTGAATGCATTATAGAAAAAGGAACTCATAGGCCAGCCAGTAGCATGGTGGTGAGGCAACTGGATCTCACATGGCCGACTGCACAGGTGGAGTCCTGGACCCAGCAGCTTGAAGAACATGCCAGCCATGTCTGTGTGCATGCCTAAGATGCCAGGAGGAGAATGGAGGAGAAGGGACCGTGGCAGGCCATCCCCCCTAGGGGATGATTTCTCATTTTCTCTCTCTCTCTCTTACTCTCTCTCTCTCACTCTCTCTCAGATGAGTGCACCCACCCTGTGTGAATTTAAAAAGAAAAATAAATAAATAAATAGAGGAATTCACTCGTGACAAAAGGCCAAACTTCAATTAATGACAAAATTAGCTGCTCAAATTAGAAATTATCTAGGAAACCCTGGATTATGCTAGTCATTCTAATGAGTGAATGAGGAGATTTGGCTTTAAAGAGCTGCCACGTACCTTTCTGTTAGGGCTGATCAGGAGCTGGTGAATCGGCATCTTAGCAGTGCCAATTTAGTCATGGGGTGACTCTTTCTAGGTGTTGCTCACATACTTAAGGCTCGTGGGATTTCTATAGCTATGTAGGATTTTTAGATGGACTTTGGACAAGTGGTTTGATCTTGATCTTCCTGGCTTACCAGATTTCTTAAATTGAAACATCTGCTCATTGTTTTTTCCCAGGTCCCACCTCCTGTCAATTACAGGCTGAGCAAGCTTTCTTGGGGACAGTGTGGGCCCTGCTCTCTAACTCCAGCGTGCTACCTACCCTTTCAAGCACCTATATTCCACAGTGCAGCGCCAATGGGCAGTGGAGTCGAGTGCAATGTGATGGTCCTCCTGAGCAGGTCTTCGAGTGGTACGAGTGGTGGGAAGCTCAGAACAAGGATGGCCAAGAGCTGACCCCTGCTGAGTTGCTCATGAAGATTATGAGCTATAGAGAAGCAGCCTCTGGAAACTTTCGTCTCTTTATTCAAAGTCTGTATGAGGCTGGCCAACAAGGCATCTTCCCAGTGTTGACAAAATACTCCTCCTTCCAAGATGTCCCACTGACAGTGTTGGAAGGGAGTCTGTCCCAGCCTGGGGAAAACATCCTCCTGGAGCCCTACCTCTTTTGGCAGATCCTAAGTGGCCAGCTCAGCAGATACCCAGGGTCCTACTCAGACTTCAGCACTCCCTTGGCACACTTTGACCTTCGGAGCTGCTGGTGTGTGGATGCAGCTGGGCAAGAACTGGACGGAACAAGGGCAGAGCCAGGCAACGTCCCAGCATGTGAGTTAACTCTTGTGAAGAACTGAGTTTGTGTGTTTTTAAGATAGGTTATCTGGTGGGAGGGCATTGGGCATCAAAGCTGGAATGGGGTTTAGAGATGCCCGGGCACATCCCTTCAATGTATATTTGAGAATGAGGAAGTGATTTTTGCACAGTTACACCACCTGGTGTTGGCAAGGTTATCACAGCACATTTTTAAGTTTTCATGTAATTGATTATTTAAACCAATGCCTTCATTTTTACTGGGTATCGTCTATGTGCAAAGCATTATCTTAGAGCCAATAAAGGCTATAAAAGTGAACATGACCATGGTCTTGTCCTTTTATGGCCAGCGCTTCAATAACATATGTCAGGCGCACCATCTGATGAATCAACAAGTGTTATGGTGCACCCACTGCTGGCACAGAGTGCTAGTAAGGGCTTAGAGCCTCAGGAAAGTGCCACCCTAAGTTCCTCTGATTGGCTTGGCGGGATTAAGGAAAAGATAGCGGGCGATGTGTGCAGTTCTACGGCAGGCAGACACACAGGAAGGTTGTGGTATTTGTGGCATACATGGAATGATGTTGACTATTTGTCTTGAATTAAAATATCTTACTAAATGTCAAATAGCCATGCCAGCAGCTTGAGAGAACAACCAGGTAGATTCAACATTTTTTAATCAAGCTATTTCTAACCAGCAGTTACTAATATTATAGGTAATATTATAGTTGTTGAAGATCAGGAAATATCTGCATTCATTCTTTACAATTGTCAGCATTGTCTAGACCCTTCTGAGCAAAGTTAAAATTTGTCAGACTATTTTAGCCAAAGTTTAGGATTTAGCAGTAAGTAAATTTTTATTGGGTTCTCAGAAAAGTCATGACGTATTTTTTTCTGTTTTTCTATGCAAAATGTGTCATGACTCTTCTAACAACAAATAGAATGTTAAGTGAAAGGATCATGTGATGAGAATAGTGTTACCCTTGGCATTTGGAACAGCCTGGAGACAACAGTAGGATTCTTCATTAAAATGCCAAGATCTAGTTATAGGCTCACACTCAAAGTCAGCACATTAATATTGTCACGACTGTTAAAATCTCATGGGGCTTGCCCCGTGGCCTAATGGCTAAAGGAGGCTGGATCCCACATGGCTGGCTGTGGCTTAGTCTCAGCCCTAGCAACCTAAAAAACACAAGGCACATATGTGTGTGTTCCTAAAATCCTTACAGGATGGAGAATTGGAGGAGAAGGGATTATGGCATGACCACATCCTGTTGGAAGGTGTTTTCTCCTTCTTTTACCACCCCCATCTCTGTTTCTCTGGTAACTGTATACACCCTCTGACAATTAAAAAAGAAAGAAGGAAAAGAGGAAGTAAGAAAGAAATCTTATTTATTTTTCTGAGATCCCCTAAAATCACCCTCCATACCAATGATTATATCTCCAATGTGGGGACATTTCTATAATTGTAGATGTTCTAAGACTAAATTTGGCCTCCTTTCATACAATTTTAGGAGCCTGAGTTGCTGATACCAAAAGTACCTAGCAACTTTAGTGCCTGGTCTTATTCGCCCTGGTCTGAATGCTGGCCGGAGTGTTGAACCAGCTTTGGAGTTTGTTGACATTTTCTCCAAGTGCCAGGAGGCTGTGTAAAGTAGATGGCCATGTATATGGGACGATCTACTAGAAAACACATATTAGAACATTGGTCCATATTGGTCCATATTCTTATCTTTTTCCTTAACATACTTATTTATGTATTTATTTATCTATTTATTTTTGAAGTTAAATGTTAATAGCTAAAACTGCTTAGAAAATGTCACCTAGTATATTATTATAGTGGTACATGAACATACTTTATACTGAAGAAAAACCCATATCAGGGGTTCATACTCAAACTCATCTATTGATGAGGGTGTGTGATCACAAGGGCTTGGAGACCAGTGGTTTAGAGCCTTGGCACACTAAGGGAGGGCCAGTGGCATTGGCATCACTTGGGAACTTGCCCGAGGTTCAGGACCTCAGTCCCCTGCCCCAGTGAATCAAAATCTGCATCGCTACAGTAGTCCGAGGCGAGTCCTGCACACCCCTAAGCTTGAGAAGGACTGGCCCAGAGGGAAAAAGAGGTGGGAGATAAATTAGGGACAGATTTAAAAAACAACCTATGTGCCCAGTCCAAGAATTTTCACTTTATCCTGGAAGAAACAGACAGCAAGCAAAGATTTTTAAATATGAGTTTTGCTTCAGAAAGTCCAAATCCCTGGGTTTAATAGGATAGATTATTTGGTCAAGAATATCCATTTGGACAAGAAAACAATCATGTCCTCGAATGCCAGAGACCAAGGGCTTATGCTGATCCTGTGCTTCTCCAAGAGTGCCGCGAACGCCTCTACTGTTGAATTCACAATGTGACTAGGATAAATATGGTGAGGTTGACTTTTGCTACTAGTGACAATTAGGACAGCACATGCTAGACACGGTGCCAAGCACTTCCTTTGTGACACTTCATAGAATTGTCAAAAAGTGATGATGCAGATTCCCCAATTTTCCGCATTGCATAGATCAGGAGATGAGATCAAAGCTCGGAGAAATTAAGCACATTATCCTTGGCCACGCAGATAATAAGTGACCAAATAGTAGAACCCTGGGGTCTCAGAGAGCTATGACCTTTCCTCTTTATAAGAATACATCTCAGGCTGGCCTAATAATCTAGTGGTTAAAGGAGTTGTATTCCAAATGGCTGACTGTCTAGTTTTAACTCTGGTCCTGATGGGTTAAAAAATACACCAGTTGCATGTGTGTGCGTGCTCCAAATCCCCATAAGATGGAGAAATGAAGGAGAAGATCGTGGAATAACCATGCCCCATTGAGGGGTGCTTTTTCCCTCTTCTTTCAATTTCTTTGTCTCTCTCTCTCTGTCTCTAAGAAGTTGGCATGCCCTCTGGCAATTAAAGAAAAAGAATTATTATCTACTAATCTATAAAGCTTCCCTTCAACTTTTAGTATCTTTCCATCCATCAGTCGTGTGTTCATACTTCCATTAGGTTAGAAACAGCTAGTTGAGATCCCTGTTTCTAGAATAAGACTGTCTCCACTGGAAATCTGAGTCTATAGTTGCTAGCTAGGAGCTTGTTTGAGCTATGTGACTTCTCCATGCTGCAGTATTTCATTTGTAACATGGCAAGAATATCTTACCATGCTGTTGCACAGATTAATTTGGCCATCTGTGTAAACGTGCTGAGCATGATCTGTGGTTTGGAGTAGCTATTCCTAATCTTATGTAGTGGGTCCTCCATACTGTCGAGTGAATGCTATCATGGAGACAAAACAGAAAGAAATCCCAGTTGGTGAAAAGAGCTAAGGTGAAGGGAAAAACTGAGGCAGCAATGTGTGTGTACATCTGTGTTGTGTGTATGTGTGTTTGTGTGCACATCAGAGAGGTCAAAGGAGACTATGGCTGAGTAAGTAAATCCATCTGTAATATTTGTATTCCCTAGGTCCTGGCTCCTGTGAGCAAGCGAAACGTCGTGTCCTACAGTTTACGAAGGAAACAGAAGAGATTGTCTCAGCTTCCAACAGTTCTTGGTTCCCGTTGGGAGAGAGTTTCCTGGTGGCCAAGGGAATCTGGCTGACTAACGAGGAGCTCAGCCTCCCCGCACTCTCCCCAACCCGGGAGGCTTTCTCGGAGAAGTTCTCCCGAGGCGGCGATTATGCCATTCGCCTGGCCGCGCAGTCCGGTGAGTGCTGTGGGGAAGTGAGAGCTTGGGTCAATGTCTGTGGTCATCTTTAAATTTTTTTTTTTAAATTAATCTATTTCTTCTATGAGCAAGACAATGAGAGACCAAGCTAGCATCCTCAGAATGGTCTTGAACACAGTGATTCCCCCCACCCCCTGCCCCAACCCAGCCATCCTGGATCATGGCCATGTGTGTACCTGGCGTGGTGAGGGAGGCGCCCAGGTCTGAACACAGAGTCAGCTCATGTGGCCTAACTGTGCAGGGGCTGTGCTGCACCGCCTTCCAGCCCTTTAGGGCTTTACGATCTTAATTTCCCTAGGCTGGTGGGCTCCTGGCAAAGTGGTTTTGACACAGCTGATGCTGAAATGCTGCCCAGTCCTCCAGCAGAACTGCTCTGGGACAGAGCTCTACGTTTTGTATTGCGAATGTCACATGCATCCCCAGGTAGCCATACATTTGTGTTACAGTGTCAGGGATGCCGGCCCCAAATGGCATGCACCCCTCATGGCCTGTTCCAAAGCTTTGCTCCGTTTCCAAGAATTTGAGAACACCATGAAGAGGGGAGGGAGAGGACCCCTCATTCCTGGGAACAGTTAGAGATATGATCTTATCTGATGCTGAACAACTCCAAAGACACGGATCATTACCTGTGTATGATAGAGGAATGAGCTCAGAGGTCCCACAGTTTTCTAGCCCATAATAACAGCTAAATGATACTTGAAACTTACCTTTGATCAGGTGCTCACTGTGCTACACCAGTGATCAGATCTTTGTACCAAACCAGGAACAGGCATTGGGGGAACAGGCCCAATGTGCAGCAAGCCATTGCCAGTGAGACTGCCCGCGTGACGAACAGAGATCTGTGAGGAACCACGGCCCGACCCCATACACGTGCAGTGGTGGGGAGGAGGCTGGAGGGAAGACTGGAGAGGGGCCTGGGGACAGTTTGTGGCCACACCCAGAGGGAGGACAGCAGTGCGGGCAGATCAGACTGGACAGGGGCAGGAGTCCCATGTGTCCTGACCGCTGCCTGTCCTCTGCCGCTCTCCCTCGTGCATTCATGCATTTCATTCTCTTTTTCACTCAATTATTTAGTGCCTACTGTGGGCCAAGCATTGCTCTATTTGCGGAATCAACACGAATCACTGCACCAAAGAGTGCAAGCGCTAGTACAGGAGGTAAATGCCTAAAGCAAAGGCTAAGAGCAACATCTCGTATAACAGGTGGAGAATGCCATGCAGAAATGCCAGGCAGGCAGGGGGGCAGCACCGAGCACATGGTGCACTGTCATTAGCTGGGTGACCAAGGGCTTGTCGCTTCACCTCCCTCACTGTGGGAAAGCCCCAAATTTGTGGAGGTGTTGCGACAATCAGACAGGAATCTGGATGATGAAACCTTGAAGGGGAACAGAGAACTTAGCAGGGAAGTCTCAGACAGTAGCTTGCACAGACTGACAGTTTGTATTAAATATCTGGCCCCTCCACTTCCTAGCTGTGACATCTTCGGTAAATTGCTTAATCCATCTGTGTCTTGGTTTTCTCATCTGTTAAATGGGATAATATTACCTCACTTGTAGGGTTGTTGTGAGGATTAAATCAATTAAAATATGTATTTAGATGGTGCCTGGCATATACCAAATGCTTGCAATCTTACCTATTATTCCTGATATCTCAGTGCCTGGCAACCCCCCTTGACCTAATCACTGCTATACAGAAGTTATTGTGGAGGACTACAAAGATTCTTTCAATCTTCCACCTAAATTTTATGTTAAAGGCCAGTCTGCTGAGGGCCTACTGCAGCTTGGGTGCCTCTGAAGTATTTTGGGTTGAAATTTCTGGGTTTGTCATTAGGTCGGAATGGGGGCCTGTTGGTCGTTCTCAGCGACATGGCCCACACTGAGCTAGAGTCGCACCCTGCTCTCTCTCCCAACTGCAGCTGTTGTCTTCTATGAGAGACGCCGCCTGGCCCTGGGGGATCTGGCCGGAGCACCCACCCTCTTGCGGTCTGGACCCTATATGCCGCAGTGTGATGCATCTGGAGGTTGGGAGCCTGTGCAGTGCCACGCCGGCACAGGTAAGGGAGGACAAGCACCTCGAAGGCCAAGCGGCACCCTCTCTTTTATTGAAGGAAAGAGCCCTCACTGGGAAGTGAGTGAGCTGACTAGCGGATCCCTCAGCTTCTCTGGCCTCAGTTCTCACATGCACAATGGGAGCAGGGACTTTTGACTGGTCTGAAGGTCAGGTGGGGGTGACTGGGGCAGTCAGGGTGCTAAGACCTGTGAAGGTGGACAGTGTCGGCAAGCGGGCTGGGCCAGGGGTCAGAAAGGTGATCTTGCTGGCATGGCCATGAATGCCAAGAAGGAACGTTGTTGCACTCGGAGTGCGTCCCCAGTGCACTTCCTGAACTTCTGTCCTGTGACTCTTTCCTAGGGCACTGCTGGTGTGTGGATGGGGAGGGAGAGTTCACCCCTGGCTCGCTGACTGCCCGCTCTCCACAGCTGCCCCAGTGTAAGTGAAGCTCACAAGAGGATTTCTGCCCGACCCCAGTGGTGGGTGATCTGCGCTCTGGCCAACTGTGGTTCCTCAACCTAAGGGTCTTGTGGCCCAACCCTTGAAAGCTGGCTCTCCACCCCCCCACTGCAGCCAGACACACTTTCCCAGCTCTGGGCCTGGCACACACTGGCCTCGGCCCTCTCTGCCCAGTGCTCTGGGTCTCATAGGTGTGGAGAAGCAGCTGAGAGTGGCGAGGGAGCCCAGTTCTCCCCCGGGTACTTGCTCCCACAGTGTCAGCATTCCTGGGGCCTCAGTGACCCTTGCACGTCAGTACCTCCCGCCCCATCCTTCCTCCTGAGCTCAGCCCTGAGTCGTCAATGCCCACTTACCACCTGAACGCTGGCAGTCCCCCGTGTGTCTTTGTCCTTGAACTTCAGCTTGCTTCTCCTCCGAGGCTGCAGCTCTGTGAAGGGCACCTCAGACACACAGCCCTGAGCTCGGGCTCAGCCTGAGCCACTACCTTCTCTCTGGCCTGGCTGGTCTGTTGAGAGTTCCCCTCCTTCTCTCACAGGCCCCACCACTTGTGAGATGTCTCGAGCCAGTGGACTGCTTTCCAGCTGGAAACAGGCTGGCTCCCAGAAAAACCCATCTCCCAAAGACTTGTTCATCCCCACCTGCCTAGAGGTAAGGTTCCAAAGCCCACGGGGCTCTCAGGAGGAAATCAGGACCTGCCTCATCTGGCTGAAGACGATTTTCTAGTTTTCAGTATATTTGGTCTCCTTGAAATTTCATGAGGAATTCTTTACCTGAGTGTTTGCCCTGAGCCTGATAGACCTTGGCTGTGTGACCTAGGGCAACCTGTTTCCCCTTCTTTGGGCTCTACTTAGTTATTGGTTTTTTTTGTTGTTGTTTGTTTGTTTGTTTTAAGTTATATCAGGCCACATTTTGTCCTATCTAGCTAAAATTGTTTTTCTTTTAAATAATTATTTTATTTAAATTTATTTATTTTAATATGACCAGAGAGGGACAGAGGTAGAGAGAGAGAGAAAGAGAGAGAAAGTGAGAAAGCATGCTGCCAGGTCCGGAACTTGAACTGTGGTCAGCCATGTGGGAGTCCAGAGCCCTTAACCACCACGCCACCTGCTAGCCCCTCTAACTAAAATTGTTTTGAAGAAATATCTTTTATAAAAATTCCTTTGGAAGGCCAGTGGCTGGCATGGTGGTCAAGGCTCAGGACTTCCACATGGCTGACCACAGTTTGAGTCTCAAACTTGGTGACTTGAAAATCACAAGGGATGTGTGTGCATTTGTGCCCAAATCCCAGGAGGAGAATGGAAGAGAAAGGATTGCAGTGTCACCCACACGCCCCCAGAGGCAGTGATAGCTCAACACTTCCTAGCTGTGACATCTTCGGTAAATTGCTTAATCCATCTGTGTCTTGGTTTTCTCATCTGTTAAATGGGATAATATTACCTCACTTGTAGGGTTGTTGTGAGGATTAAATCAATTAAAATATGTATTTAGATGGTGCCTGGCATATACCAAATGCTTGCAATCTTACCTATTATTCCTGATATCTCAGTGCCTGGCAACCCCCCTTGACCTAATCACTGCTATACAGAAGTTATTGTGGAGGACTACAAAGATTCTTTCAATCTTCCACCTAAATTTTATGTTAAAGGCCAGTCTGCTGAGGGCCTACTGCAGCTTGGGTGCCTCTGAAGTATTTTGGGTTGAAATTTCTGGGTTTGTCATTAGGTCGGAATGGGGGCCTGTTGGTCGTTCTCAGCGACATGGCCCACACTGAGCTAGAGTCGCACCCTGCTCTCTCTCCCAACTGCAGCTGTTGTCTTCTATGAGAGACGCCGCCTGGCCCTGGGGGATCTGGCCGGAGCACCCACCCTCTTGCGGTCTGGACCCTATATGCCGCAGTGTGATGCATCTGGAGGTTGGGAGCCTGTGCAGTGCCACGCCGGCACAGGTAAGGGAGGACAAGCACCTCGAAGGCCAAGCGGCACCCTCTCTTTTATTGAAGGAAAGAGCCCTCACTGGGAAGTGAGTGAGCTGACTAGCGGATCCCTCAGCTTCTCTGGCCTCAGTTCTCACATGCACAATGGGAGCAGGGACTTTTGACTGGTCTGAAGGTCAGGTGGGGGTGACTGGGGCAGTCAGGGTGCTAAGACCTGTGAAGGTGGACAGTGTCGGCAAGCGGGCTGGGCCAGGGGTCAGAAAGGTGATCTTGCTGGCATGGCCATGAATGCCAAGAAGGAACGTTGTTGCACTCGGAGTGCGTCCCCAGTGCACTTCCTGAACTTCTGTCCTGTGACTCTTTCCTAGGGCACTGCTGGTGTGTGGATGGGGAGGGAGAGTTCACCCCTGGCTCGCTGACTGCCCGCTCTCCACAGCTGCCCCAGTGTAAGTGAAGCTCACAAGAGGATTTCTGCCCGACCCCAGTGGTGGGTGATCTGCGCTCTGGCCAACTGTGGTTCCTCAACCTAAGGGTCTTGTGGCCCAACCCTTGAAAGCTGGCTCTCCACCCCCCCACTGCAGCCAGACACACTTTCCCAGCTCTGGGCCTGGCACACACTGGCCTCGGCCCTCTCTGCCCAGTGCTCTGGGTCTCATAGGTGTGGAGAAGCAGCTGAGAGTGGCGAGGGAGCCCAGTTCTCCCCCGGGTACTTGCTCCCACAGTGTCAGCATTCCTGGGGCCTCAGTGACCCTTGCACGTCAGTACCTCCCGCCCCATCCTTCCTCCTGAGCTCAGCCCTGAGTCGTCAATGCCCACTTACCACCTGAACGCTGGCAGTCCCCCGTGTGTCTTTGTCCTTGAACTTCAGCTTGCTTCTCCTCCGAGGCTGCAGCTCTGTGAAGGGCACCTCAGACACACAGCCCTGAGCTCGGGCTCAGCCTGAGCCACTACCTTCTCTCTGGCCTGGCTGGTCTGTTGAGAGTTCCCCTCCTTCTCTCACAGGCCCCACCACTTGTGAGATGTCTCGAGCCAGTGGACTGCTTTCCAGCTGGAAACAGGCTGGCTCCCAGAAAAACCCATCTCCCAAAGACTTGTTCATCCCCACCTGCCTAGAGGTAAGGTTCCAAAGCCCACGGGGCTCTCAGGAGGAAATCAGGACCTGCCTCATCTGGCTGAAGACGATTTTCTAGTTTTCAGTATATTTGGTCTCCTTGAAATTTCATGAGGAATTCTTTACCTGAGTGTTTGCCCTGAGCCTGATAGACCTTGGCTGTGTGACCTAGGGCAACCTGTTTCCCCTTCTTTGGGCTCTACTTAGTTATTGGTTTTTTTTGTTGTTGTTTGTTTGTTTGTTTTAAGTTATATCAGGCCACATTTTGTCCTATCTAGCTAAAATTGTTTTTCTTTTAAATAATTATTTTATTTAAATTTATTTATTTTAATATGACCAGAGAGGGACAGAGGTAGAGAGAGAGAGAAAGAGAGAGAAAGTGAGAAAGCAAGCTGCCAGGTCCGGAACTTGAACTGTGGTCAGCCATGTGGGAGTCCAGAGCCCTTAACCACCACGCCACCTGCTAGCCCCTCTAACTAAAATTGTTTTGAAGAAATATCTTTTATAAAAATTCCTTTGGAAGGCCAGTGGCTGGCATGGTGGTCAAGGCTCAGGACTTCCACATGGCTGACCACAGTTTGAGTCTCAAACTTGGTGACTTGAAAATCACAAGGGATGTGTGTGCATTTGTGCCCAAATCCCAGGAGGAGAATGGAAGAGAAAGGATTGCAGTGTCACCCACACGCCCCCAGAGGCAGTGATAGCTCAAGTTCCCTCTCACTGTCTCTCACTGTCTCTCTCCAGCCAGTGCATGTGCCTTACGGAAAAAAAAAAAAAAAAATCCTTTGAAAAACAATCAACACCTACACAGTCACTACTATGTTTTTTCCCGCCTTCATCTTGGTGAAGCCACTGTGGTCATTGTGTCTCACAGTCTCAGCCTGGGCTGGGACATCATTACCTAGTCTTCTCACTCCTGGGATGATGGTAACAATCGCGTGAGGTTCTGATGTAAACGCTCTTAGAGGAAGGATGTGTCAAGGAGCGGAAGTCTCTGGGCCTCAGTTTTCTTTCCACAAAACAGGGACGATAAGAAAGCCACCACCTGCTCTGCTCCTGGGACTCCATAACAACCAGGTGAACTCGGCAGTGCAGAAGTTCGTGAAACTCTAAAGTGCTGAGCAGAAGTCTCCTTGCTATTGCTGGTTGGCACTGTGAGCATTGGTTTTGTAGAGGAATTAGCTGATGTTATTTAGGCTTTATCTCAATTGACCATTATCTACTGCCGAAGTGCAAGTCTGCTCTGTTTTCCTGGACCCCGAAGCTCGCTTGTGGAGAAGTAGAAACCGCTACTTCTGAGGGAGGCAAAAGCATTCCAGGGCAGGGCTCATAGGCTCTCTGGTTGTGTGGTCCTGAGCCCAGCTCTTGTGGAGGCCCCCAGTGCCAGGAAACAGTACCCAGGGCTCTTGCTGCCCAAACCAAAGGCTGTGTCTTTGTCCCAACTTCCAAGAAAAAGTCAAACTATTGACTATCACTTCTTTTTCTTAATTAAAAAAAAAATGTGTTTCTCTTCCATGAACAAAAGAGGTAGACAGAGAAAGAGAGAAAAAACACCCCAACAGAGTTTTGATGCCATGATCCACCCCCAGCCTCAGCCAGTCCCAGATCATGGGAGCATCCATACCTGTGGTGTCCTCACAAAGGCCTCTGGATTTGAACGAGGAGCTTCACATGTGGGTCAGCCTTGCAGCCTGCTGCATTTTACTGCACCACTGTCTGGCCCCTAGTTCCCAATTTTGAGACATTACCTGATAGAACTTTCTTGAACCTTTGCTTGGCGTTGACTCTTACCTTTACAGCTTACAAGCTATGGAACCAGAGGCACATGGCAGGATTGCTCTGGGTCTCTCTGTGTAGATTGAGGACAGCAGGGTCTGCCTCCCGAGGTGCCATGTGGATTGAAGGGGCAGGGGACAGCTAGTGCAGGGTGAGCCTGTAGTTCAGTTGTCAGTCAGTGGCCAATGTTGTTATTACTGCCAGTGCTCATCTGGGGACAAGGTGCAACAGGCTGTAGAAGGAACAAGCTGCAGACAAATACCAAAGGAAACACGCAGCAGCACCCAGCCACACAACACTGCTTTCCTCCAGCATGGCTGTCTATGCTCGTGGATCTGTTATGGCCGAGGGAACAGGACACTTCCTACCACCAAAGGGGCTCCTAGAAGGACCATGCTCAAGGATCAATCTAGTCCTGCCTCTTGTTTTATGATTTTACATTTTCATTCTTTTTTTTTTTTTAATAACTCCTTGGTTTTTAGATGGGGGATCTGAGGCCCAGAGAGTTGACGTGACATTGTCAGCATTTCTTAGCTAGTCTGGGCCAGGTTGGGGATGGGGGGTTGACTTTGACAAGGTTTTGTTCTGTGGGTCCCTGGTCAGACAGCCCCTGCTACGGACACTGGGGGCCTCCATCTAGGGCTCCCTCAAAGGTCATTTATGGAACTGATGAGGTTGGTTCAGGAAAGTGAGGGCTTCCGGCCTGGATGGACCCTACTCACCTCCAGCTGTGAATGCTGCTCTGTCCCTTTCCCTATCAGGGAGCCTTGGTTTGCCCCACCGGAAAATGGGATAACTGTGGTCCGTCCTCCCAGAGTTGCCGTAAATATTCATTCAAATGATGTATGTAAAGGGTTGGGAACAGGAAGTGCCTCCCCACCCCCTCATATTAATAATCTCCCACCCTAGCCCCCCCATCTGGAGAAGATATCGCAGGATGCTTTGGAAAGGACCTTCTTGACATTTGCCCACCAGCAGGTCAGTTACAAAAGCATCTTGCCTGTGATGATGTGACCTTGGCTCTCTCTCAGACAGGAGAGTATGCCAGGCTGCAGGCGTCAGAAGCGGGCACGCAGTGTGTGGACCCAGCATCCGGAGAATGGGTGCCGCCCGACGCACGCAGCAGTGCCCAGTGTGAGTCGCCATCCTCCCTAGTGAGCTCCAAGCCCTGCTACTTGCTCCCACAGCAAAGGAGGTGTTGCCCACCTTGCAATGCCTCAGTTTCTCATCTATAAAACAGGGGCACTCTTCCCCCACCCCAGTGGGTTCTCAGAAGGAGCAAACACAGTGGGAAGCAGAGCTGTGCGTTGTGACCGAGATGTGCAGGCCCTTGAGGAGGAGCCATAGTTTCCCAGTTGTGTGACGCTGATACGCAGCAGGCCTGTCTGGCTGTAGGCTTCCATCTTGGCCCTGCGGTCTACAGGGAAGCCCAGGCGCTATTCTTAAAGTGTAATGTGCCAACGACCCTGCCCCTGCCTGAAAACCATGGACATTCCCATCGTCCTCAGGGCCAAGCGAAGCTCCTTGACATGACTCAGGGGCTGCGTGCATCTGGCTCCTGTGTGTCTGAATTCTCTCGCTTTTCTATCACCTGCACTTCAGGATTTGCTTGTGATGAATCTTGAATTGTAGATAGGAAGGCGGACACCTGCTGCCCATGGGCCCTTTGTGCTTCCCGGCTCTGTGTCTGCAGTCCATCTGCAGAGTGTCCATCTCCTCCCACCACCCACCTGCTAATTCTCACTCAGGCCATGGATCAGGCCGTCCAGGAAGCTTTTGCTGGTCTCCCTTCCACTGTGAGCTCCGTGCATGCCTCCGGCTCCTAGACTACTTTCTTTACCCTCGTCTCCCTGGGCTATGATTGCTCATTCTCTCATTAAGTCTCCTTTAAGACTCTCAACTCCTAGAGGGCAGGCATCAGACGGGGGGAGTGCTGCAGAGGTGAGCAAGGCTCAGTCTTTGCCCGTGTGGTTCAACACCGGCTGGAAGGCCCTGTAGGCAGGCTGTTTCTGTGATGGTGGGTGGCAGGGTGAGCTGTGCAGCTATGGGCCTGTCCTAGCTGGCTTGTCTCTTTGTCAAGGCCCGAGTCTCTGCGAGGTGCTCAAGAGTGGAGTCCTCTCCAGGAGAGTCAGCCCAGGCTATGTCCCAGCCTGTGGGGCAGAGGATGGGGGCTTTTCCATGGTGCAGTGTGACCCAGCCCAGGGCAGCTGCTGGTGTGTCATGGGCAATGGAGAGGAAGTGCCTGGGACCCGTGTGGCTGGGAGCCGGCCTGCCTGTGAGAGTAAGTTCAACCCCTGGGAGGGGCTCTGGAGCTGCATGGCTCTTCCTTCACCCAGGCTGGGTGGGTTCTGGAGAAGCAGGGACCCTGGGTAGGGAACAGGAAGTGCTCCAGGATGTAGCTACAGTAGGTTCTCATGATGTCCATGTGTGTCTACTTCCTGAAAATGCTTGACCTTGGGGCCTCAGATTGGGAAGAGTCTGGCCAGGTATGTCCAGAGCTAGCGCCAGACTGCCGAGGGGTTCTGGGTCTGGTACCATGAGGCCAGAGTGGGCCAGTCTCGCTGCCTTGTCAGAATGGCATTAGCATGAGGCCCTGAAAAACTTCCTCCTGACCCACTGCAAAGCATGACAGAGAGTTGTCTAGGGGGTTCACACAAACAGATGTGAATGTCCACCTACTTGCTGGGTGACTTGGGGCTAGTCCCTTAACCTCTCTGAGCCTGAGTTTCTCAATCTGTAGAATGAAAATGGAGAACAGGAGGTTCTTTTAGAGTTATCATGAGGACTAATTAAGTTCTTCTATGTTAACTGGGACAACTAAAACACTTAATATACATTACTGTTCTTCTGGCTGGTGTTATTAAGGCATGGACTGGCACATATACTGAGCTCCCTTCTCTCCATCCATTTTCATGTTCCTGGGAGAGTCTGCCTCCTAAGGGCATTATGGAGATGACAGAGAGCTCAGGGCATGGCCCCTTCCTGCTGTAGGCCTTTGTCAGGAAAGCTAATCTCTCCATGCTCAGGGTCCTTCTTGTGGGATGAGGCTAGTTATAGTCCCCTTGTAGAGTTGCTGTGAAGATGAGGTCATGTACGAAAAGTCCTTGGGTAGCCCTGACCCAGCTCTTGTAAGGTGGCAGTGGAAGCAAGAGGTTCTGGCTTCTGGTAAAATCACCAAGTTGCTCCTCAGTGAGCCAGTTAGCCCCTTGAGCCTCCATTTTGCTCACCTCTAAAATGGCGACAGTGCTGCTCCGTGGACATGAATCTGGAAGGACTGCATGAGATTAAAGATGTTGGGAGGGATGGCAATGGAGAGTCGCCAGAGAGCCCTGGGTACAGATCCTTCCCGGTGTGAGGGAAACCCATACGGGTTCTAGTCCTCCTTGCAGAAGGGATATGGGAGCCCACACAGTCACTCCCTGACACCCTGCTTCTCACATACACATGATGTGGCTAGCACTCTGGTGGAGAGTGTGGATTCCCTGGTTTGCTGCTTGCCAGCTCTCTGGTCACAGGCAGAGGAATGATCTGTGTGCCTCAGTGTTGGCATCTGTAACACAGGGACAGTGCGGACAATGGAACCCGGCCCCAGGGTTGAGAGAATGAAACAAGTGTGCCTGGCATACGCGAATGTCGCTCAAGTGGGTTTTCAGTACGTGCTCCCTCCAGGAGGCAGCCATTACTGCCATCCTCACCGCTTTACGGGCAAGGAAACTGACTTACAGAGCAGTTAATTAACTTGCTCCGGGGCACTAAGTAGTAGGTGACAGAGCCAGAACTCACAGCCCAGAAGGCTGGCCTGGGCCTGCAGGCTGCTCTCCCTCCTCCCCATGCACAGGGCACTTGGGAAGAGCCAGTGCCATAAGTCCACTGCCAGGCAGAGTGCAAAATCCCAGCCGGGGCTCCCATTCTCATTAGAAAGAAGCCCAGGTAGGTCACACCCTGAGATCAGGCAGGCTGCTCCTCATCTCAGAGGCCCCTGGGTTCTCGGTGTCACGCGTAGATGGCAGATTTTAAAAAGTCAGACATGTATTGGCAGCAAGGCTATGCCTGCGAGAGTCTAATTAACTAAATCTCCAGCCAGGTATGAAATTATCACACTGAGTGCCTTTGCTTTCTATTGGCTCACTCAGCCATGTATTTAACACGTTCGTTGAGCTGGTTTCTGGGTCATTTTGCGCTGCAGTTGGGTGAACAGGGGTAAGCAGCCTCTTTCTAGCCTGGACACAGCTCAGTGGGGAGACCAGTGTGGAGATTAGCTAATTGGTAATGCCTACGAGAGCTCTACTCCAGGGGCCTGGGAGCTCACAGAAAGGACCCCTCAATCTGCCTGGGGGAGCCTCCAAGGTGTTAGAAGGCCGGAGGTATTGAGCTGACATTTGAGGGTCACTAGGCGTCTTCCAGACACACGAGCAGGCAGAGGGAAGGGATTGGTGCTGTGTGACTAAGGTTGTTCAAAGAACTACAGGCCTGGGGAACCAGCAGTTAGCGTAATGGCTATGTCGCTGGACTCCCATGTAGTCGACTGCGGTTCGTGTCCTGGACCCGGTGGCTTAAAAAAACTCACGCCGGGCGCGTGTGCGTGCGTGCCCAAGATCCCGAGAGGAGAATGGAGGAGAAGGGATTGCGGCGTGACCATCCCCCCTGGGGGGTGATTTCT